CCAAGTCTTTCAATCCATGAGCATGGTATGTGTTATCTTCAGTTTCTTTCATCAGTTGTCTTATAATTTTCACCGTATAGGTGTCACTTCCTTAGTTAAATTTATTCCCAGGTATCTTCTTTTTAATGCAATTATACATGGGATTATTTTCTCAACTTTTTTTCTAATAGCTCCTTATTAGTATATAGAACTACAACTGATTTCTGTAGGTTACTTTTGTATACTGTTTAAAAAGATTTATTTCAGGGGTGAGAGACAGAGGGAGAATCTCAAGCTGACTCCCTGCTGAGCGTGGAGCCCAACGAGAGGCTCAGTCCCAAACCTGAGATCATGATCTGAGCCAAAATCAAAAGTTGGATGCTTAACCAACTGAGCAACCCAGGTGCCCCTGTCTAAAATTTCATAACTGAATTCATTTATAGTTATGATGGTGTTTTGGTAGACCCTTTTAGAGTTTTATATATATAGTATGTCAACTGCAAATAATGAGTTTTACTACTTTTCTGTTCGGATGTCTTTTTTCTTTTTTTTTCCTGATTGCTACGGCTAGACTTCCCAATACTATATTGAATAAAAGTGGTGAGAGTGGGTATCCCTTATCTTGATCTTGGAGGAAAAGCTTTAAACTTTTCAACATTGAGGACGATGTTACCTGTGAGTCAGTCATACGTGGCCTTTATTATGTTCAGGTACGTTCCCTCTGCACCCTCTTTGTTTTTATCACAAATGGCCATCAAATTTTGTGGTGTTTTTTTTTCCTGCATCTGTTAAGATAATCATACATTTTTATCCTCATTTTATTAATGTGGTATATCACATTGATTTGCAGATGTCAAACCATCCTTGCATCCCTGGAATAAATCCCATTTGATCATGGTGTATGACCCTTTTAACATACTAAATTCTGTTTGCTAGTACTTTGTTGAGGATTTTTGCACCTATTTGCATTGGGGATAGTGACCTGTAGTTTTCTTTTTATGTGGTTTGTCTTTCAGTATCAGGGCAGTGCTGGCCTCTGTAATCTTTATTATTTCCTTCCTTCTACTAACTAGATACAAACTTAGGTAGCTTATTTGGGATATTTGTTTCTTGAGGTAGACTTTCTTTAGCCATGAACTTCCCTCTTGGAACTGCTTTTTGTTGCATTCTATGGCTTTTGTAAAGTTGTTTCATTTTTCATTTGTCTTAAAGTGTTTTTTAATTTTCTCTGATTTCTTCATTGACTTAATGTTTAATAATGTTTTTTAGTCTCCATATTTTTGTGTTTTTACCAGTTTTAATATGATTTCTAGTTTCATACTGTTTTAACTGTTAGGAAAAAAGAGGCCTGATAGTGAATTTATTGAAACTTTTGTGGCTTAGCGTGATCGCTCTTGGAGAATGTTCTGTGTATAGTTGAAAAGAATCTGTATTCTACAGTTTGGGGGAATGGAATGTTTTGTATGTATCAAGTCCATCTGGTCTAATGTGTCATTTAAGGCCAGTGTTTCCTTATTTTCTCTCTGGATGATCTATCCATTGATGTAAGTGGGGGTATTAGTGGCTCCTACTATTAAAGTATTACTGTCACTTTCTCTTTTATGTTTATGTCTCAATATTTTGCTTTCTGTATTTATATGCTCCTGTGTTGGCTGCATAGGTGTTTATAAGTGTTAGATCCTCTTGGATCAACCCCTTTATCATTATGTAATGCCCTTGTCTTTTGTTACAGTCTTGGTCTATTTTGTTTTGTGTTTTTTTTTTTTTTTGAAGATTTTATTTATTTGAGAAAAAACAAGCAGGAGGTGGGTGTGGGATGAGCAGAGAGGGACACACTGACTCTGCTGAGCATGGAGCCTGATGCAGCCCACCTCAGGACCCCAATATCATGACCTGAACCAAAATCAAGAGTTGGCCACTTAAACAGACTGAGCCACATGTTTGCCCCCTAGTCTTTGTCTATTTTGTATGATATGTGTAATGTTAACATTAACCTTCTTACTGTATGTTTGCATGGAATAACTTTCTTCATCCTGTCACTTCCAATAGAGGTGTCTTTAGATCTGAAATGTCTTTTTTTTTAATTTATGTATTTGACAGACAGAGATCACAAGTAGGCAGAGAGAGAGGAGGAGGCAGGCTCTCCGCTGAGCAGAGAGTCCTATGCGGGGCTCGATCCCACGACCCTGGGATCACGACCTGAGCTGAAGGCAGAGGCTTTAACCCACTGAGCCACCCGGGTGCCCTGAAATAAGTCTCTTATAGGCAGCCGGCAAATACGTGGGTCTTTTTAAAATGCACCCAGCCAACCCCTCATAGGTAACATGCTTATCTCCATTTTGTTAGTTCTTTTTCTCAGGTTTTGTCCTATTCTTTTGTTTGCCTTTCTTTGCTTCTATAAAGTAGGCAAAACAGCTACCCCTCCCAATCCTGAAGGAGTGGCCGTGTGTAGGAATGCCCTGTGCAGACTGCAGCTGCCTGACAGCTTTGCATGGTGAGCCAGAATGGAAACAGGCACAGGCCAGGGATATCCTATGCACACTATGCTAGGGCCACCTTTGGGAGGAACGGCTCAAGCTAGTGGGGGCCTGAGGCTCACTGGGGTGGCTCAGCAGGCTGGCTAGAGTGCCTGGACTCTGCTCCAGCCTATACTATCGAGATGGAAGGGCAACATAAACAATGGTAATGAGCAGTGCTTTCCACCTGAGGCCCAGCGGTTTCTCTACCATTCTTCTGACAGCTGTAGTTAGTAAATGGCTCTCCTTCACTCATGGGCTAATTGCCCTTTAAACCAGTTTTTTTGCTGTGCCGCAGGGTGGACAAATGTGCACACCGGCTCCCCCAGGATATCCCTCCTTATGTAGTGTGCTGCACTGGGGTTGGGGTTCCTGTCATTACTCCCTCTCACCTACCTTTCTCTCTGTGGTCCCTCCCTCTCCCATTGTACAGAAGCTATTCAGTCAGCCCTTAGTTCTCCAAGAACAACTGCTTTATATGTAAATTTGAGTTTAGCAGCTCTCTAAGCTCCCTAAACCACTATCCTGGACCGCCTCCCAAAAGTCTACTTCTGCCTCATTCTATCAGAGAGTGAGAAAACTCATTCAGAGAATGAGAAAACTCCCTAATTTTGGAGTTGTTAGAAGGATGGTTTTTCCAAAGTATTTGTTTCTGGTAGTTGTTACCTCACGTTGTCTTCTTCATCACTGAGACAGACTCCGGAACTAGATATATCAAGAAAACAGGATTCTTGCACAGACCGGCCCATGACTTCGGCTCCACCGCAAGCCTGTGCAAGCAGTATCCAGGATGACACCGAGCAGAAATCAGTCTACTGGAAACTACAGCACCCTCACGTAAAATCATGTGAGTAGTCATTATTTAGCTATCTACCACTCACAGAATGCATTCAAACTTATTTCATGTAATCCTCAACGACTGTTTGAACTGAGCATTATTCCTGTTGACTTGTAGAACTCCCAAGTCCAGCGCTGACTCCTATTCAGTATGTATATATAGTGCATCTCGGACTAGTCAGATCACAGGAGACAAAACATACTAGTTACTTTACGTTTTATAGCTGAGGCTCAGAAAGTATATTTTTATCATCTTTCACTTAAGGCATTGTGCTGAGTGGGAGAAACAGACTGGTGAGTAAGTGGCAACAGATTTCCACCTTCAGAATGCAGAAAGTAAATTCTAAAGAATATGCATGTACGATATAAGAGAATCTTACCCATTAAAAAATAATATATATGCCTTGTGGTCCAAGGAAAACATAAGTTTGCTTTATTTTAAAACAGTAACTTCCTTCAGTTGGAGAAGTGGCCAAAATTCAATACTGATACAAATTCTTAGGAGGTCAAAATATGTAATTCAGGCAAATTTTCTGAATTTTTTTAAAGGCAGAATTTATAAACCAGAAACAACGTAATCAACAACATATGTAAAATAAGTCACAGTTCAAATTTAAGCTGAGTAACATTTGCTAATATTGAGAACATTGCACGTATTTTCAATAACTTAAAATTCTCCTCTCTTATCTTCACTTCTTTTTACTAGATTTAAGTAAATCCAAATATTTACTCATGGTAAGAGATTCTGGCATTAACTATGAGTTTAACAGAAATACAGAAAACCATAAAGATTATCAAGCATTCACAAATGATCAGGTATAGCAATTCCTGAGAAGCCCTCAATAAGAAAGGCTGTTCTCCATTTTCTAATAGCACCTAAGGTTTGCTGCATAATGTAATTCAACAGAACAGCACTCTGACCAATGATAAACTTATATGAAATTCTTTTGCCTATTCAAGGTTTCATTATAAAGCTACTATATTTGACCAATATTAAAAATCTTAAAACTCCATTATATTGCCATTTCCATTATGTATTACCTTAGCAACAAGTTATCTTTACGATGCCATTTATTCAACTGGAAAAAAAAAGATGGTACATTGTGGTTTTCACCTGTTATAGATTTAATTCAATAATCTGATTTCTCACTATAGGAAAACTACATTTTCTTTCTCAGTGCTGGACAGCACTAAAGTGAAAGCAGCTTTCATAGTCCCTGACTTCCCTTTAAATGAAAGCATTATGGAATTTTCAGCAGTGAACATTATCCGGTTCCTACTTTGAACCCCATCTCCAAGGAAATGAGAGAATCTAAGGTAAAAGTCCTGTTCAAGGCAAAAAGGTTCCAATCCTAAATATTTCACTCCAACAACCTGTGTTCCATCATTGAGTAGTAAATGATCAATGACAACTAATGATGGTAACAGTACCTTCACTGACATCATTATTAAAATCTACCTACTATTTTATATCCAAATATATGCATATAAAATATCTGCACAGATAAATTAGTGTTAAAAATTAAAAACTCAACATCTACAAATGTCCTTTCTTCTGAAATCTATATAATTGTTCTCAAGAGTAGAAACCTGAACATCCTGACTATACATTAAAAACACATGTCTGAATACATGTTATGGAAAACTTCAGAACTAATCTCACCCCCCCAAAAAAAAAAAAAAAAAAAACCCCACAAACTTAGAGTGCTTTTGTTATTGTTGAATCTAATTAGACTTAAAGGAGACCACTGAATACTAAATTCAGGTATTTACTAAATAGTGTTGATTTCTACTTGTCAAACAGCCCTAACAAACCAACAGGATAGTTTTTCTCTGCTCACTGTCTATTAGGAAGTTGAAACATTTTCAATTAAAGCCTTCATTTTTCCTGTAGACTTCAACATGTGTGGCCCAAACTGGAAAAGAAACAAAAGTATAAACAGATATTGGTTCAGGTAAAAGTAATGATACCCTCCCCTCCTATGGATCAAAGGTCTGGGTAGGTTCTGCATGAAAAACCAAGCAGCTAGATAATAGTAAAACCATGAACTGAACATGACACATTAACAAGGAAAGCAAATTACTTCCTAGAAAACTATAACCATCTTAGCAAGACCATAAACTTTAGTCCAATTTTACTTCTCTGAGTAAAAGAATGAAGTATGAGGTTTCCTTTTTTCAATGTCTAAAGAGTTTCAAAGATGCTACAATTTCTAAGATACCTGCTTCTCTAGAATGGATAAGCACATATACCACATTACAGTCAAGGAAATGTATAAATTAATATTTGAGTTTCCATAAAATATGCTCAATCTCCCCTATGACATGAAACATCCTGCAAGGAAGGTCCACGTTGAATCTCACCCACATCAGACTACTTTCACAAGGCCCCCTAAAGGAAAATGATATTTACTTTTTGAATTCTCCTCCACAACATACATACTGTCCTAAGATATAAATTTTAGTATAATGAATTTCGCTTCATTATGCTTACACAGAAATCAAGCACAGCATGGAAAATTTAACACTGGAGATGCTAAGCAGTGAAGCCAAGAGTTGGCTTTTGCTTCCCTTTTTATGCTCTTCTATAAATCTACTCGTGGGTAGGGGCTAAATCCCATAGCACATCCTTCTGAATTTTGCTAAGGCCACAGCTCAGTGTCACAAAATACAGGTGGCTCAGTAATGGAGTAAACTGCCATGTTGTGCGAGGGAAGAGGTGACCCAATACTCACCAACACTGTTTCTGAGGTGGCGTCCGATGCAGGTTTGGGAATTCCTTTTTCAATTTCACCTTGACTATCGCTTCGATATCGATAAGCAAATTTCTTTTTCAGAGCCTCTGCTATGAGGGCAGCTGGGTCAGTAGCATCCACCGTTTTGGGCTTTATATCCTGTTCTGACCTTAAGGAAGTGAACAGAAACCAAGGGGACATTTCAGTATGCTGGCATCCTTCCGAGAAGTCCACTGTGTGCCTGCACATGCTTGATGGCACATCTCTAGCATCACAGATCCCCAATGAAGTTACTGACAAACACTGAGAGAAGTGAGACAGAAACCCTAGATTTAAGGCTCAGTAAAAGAACACAAAGATGCCCAAGGAATAGCTACTCAATTCAACTCAAGAGCACACACTGTGCTCTCCCTTCAGGGCAATTACAGTTCCATTCTCTCAAAGCCTAGTGATCACCACAGTGCGCATACAACACAGCTTTACTGAATGAAGGACTGGACAATAACAAAGGCTTTACATAAAAGAACTTTAAATGTAATGGGGGAAAGACAAAGTGTAACCTAGAGATGATTGCTCATTTCTTAGATAAAAACTAAGAATTTTTTTTTTTAAACTAAAAACTAGAACTATTCATGGTAATCGTTATAAAACAAAGTTCTCAAGGAGTCTAGTACTTTGTTTTACAAAACACAACAAAAATAAAGAAGTGTGAGAGAAGGTAAACATATTCTCACCTTTTTACTGACCGAAGTTTTACACTGTTCATATCTTTAAGGATCTCTAGCATATTTGGCATATCGGGTTTCTTTGGACTGCTCTTAACCAAAGTCTTCCCAGCACAGGCTTTTTTCTCTCTTCGCTCTTTTATCAGGTCAATAGCGGATGATACACTTTGGTGGAGCCCTGATGGGGGAAGGGGTGGGGGAGGTGGGGGAGGTGGGGGCGGCGGCGGCGGCGGTGGTGGAATAGAGGATGGTGGTGTAGTAACAGATGTGGCAGGATCTAAGTCACCTACAGAAATAAGGAAAAATCAATTTAATCTTGATGGTAACAGGCAAATAAAATACTTTTAACAGGGGCGCCTGGGTGGCTCAGTGGGTTAAAGCCTCTGCCTTCAGCTCAGGTCATGATCCCAGGGTCCTGGGATCGAGCCCTGTGTCAGGCTCTCTGCTCAGCGGGGAGCCTGCTTTCCCTTCCTCTCTCTCTGCCTGCCTCTCTGCCTACTTGTGATCTCTGTCAAATAAATAAAAAATCTTAAAAAAAAAATCTTAAAAAAAAAATAAAACACTTTTAACAGCAAAATTATGTTAAGGATTTTTGTATACCTGAAATCAATATGCTTGAAAGAAACCTCAGTTAAGGGAGTAAAGGAAGTTTCGGTTACTTGGTTAGAATCTTGAATACCTGCATCTAATCCCAAACTCTCCAGGTGGAAAAGTTCCACTTAACAGGGGTGTTTTTGTGATCTCAAATGTTCAAGCCTGGCTATTGCTCACTCTCTGACTACTTTTAGATAAAATATGAAACAGTGTGCACTATATAAACATCTTCAACATAGTCTGACAATTCAGTGCTGTATTTGAAAAAACTGGTAAATTTGTGATTCATTTTAGGAATATATATATGTAAGACTTACTGGGCATTTAAAGTTTTAAGGCTTATTATTCAACAAATTTCTGAAAGAAGAAAAAGTGTTACTTTTCAAAACAGTAACCAAGGTAAGACTTAAAGTGATAACAAAATAAGGATGTAAAAATTCATCTTTCTGCATAACTAGAGGACACAGTTGTTCACTGGTTGAACTGTATTGATTAGGGGGAGCTCAATGCAAAATTTTTACTCAAGGGTTTTTGACTGTAAATAGAACATTTAATGACATAAATCTCCATACTGCCTCACTACAGCAGTTTTCATAGTCTGCCAGAAGAGGGAGGTAAAGCAAAAGAGAAATGCAATTTAAAAGTTAAAAGCAAAGGCAGGACTTCTGGATTTCAAAAAGTTACATGCAAATTTCATTTAAGTAACCAATTACTTCTTAAGCACTCAGTGCCCAGAGTGCATCTGCTCTCTGTCCATCTTGGCAGTACACAGGCTGGATGAGGTTTCTGTGTTGGATTACATTAAACTCTAGGAGCATAAGTGGCTCAGAAGCAGAGTAACTGTCCTTATCCTTTAACCTTTAGAATTGGCTAATTCTGAGTCTAGCCAGGCCTCCGGAACACCACTAGGAAAAACAACTACTACTTGCCAACAGGTTAATGGGCTAGGATTTCAAGGCTATGATTTCTTCTCCAAAGTAACAATGCACACAAAGAAAAGCAAACAGTACTAAACCAGGAGTCACAGGACCTGAATTCAGTTTCTACTCTGGGCAAGAGGAAGACAAATGATTATTAAGTAGCTACCATGTGCTAAAGGCATTGTATATAATTTCCACATTTACTATCACAACTCCACCATATAGGTACTATTGGCCCATTTTAGAGCAGAAGAGGGAGGGAGAAAGGCCTAGGACTTGTCTTACAATATGCAGGTAAGTAACAGCACTCAACCCTGTCAGGGCTCTTTTGAGATTACTCCACGGCTGATAAAATTGGTGCCATTATCACAGACAAAAATTTCCCCAAGTGCATTCACATAGCAGCAATTCAACTGTATGAATTTCAGTATTTTCCCAAATTCATTCTCTCTGATAGCATCAAAATTGCTCAAAACCAACAAAAACCACTTAAACTTGACTGGGTCCTAGACTAAACCATGGAGAAGACTGATCTTTGGTTTTTTAACAACCCCAGGGCTATTATTTGCTAATACATTTTAAAATTAGTGGCATTCTCCTGATTTCCAGTTCACTGGTTAAATGTATGATTTACAGACCTGTAATGAGATTTTGCTGTTCTTGCAGGGTTACAATTTTGGCAATCTGAGCTCTGAGAGCAGCAAGTTCATTTTCAAGGGCACAGATCTTCTGCAATGCTTCCTCATTTGCTAGTGCTGTCTTCTGTTGAGGATCTTCTGGAGACAGGTTTGGTAAGGAAAACTGCCTGCTTGGCGGCTTCTCAAAGAAAGGAAGGTCATCCTGGAGAGGTTGCCTTGATCTGACCTCTGTCCTGCAAGAAAGAAAAAAGGATGGCTAGATCACAGGGTTTGTAAGGAAATATAAAGATCATTACCAATTAATCAGAACATGGTATCTGAGAAATACTTTGCAGACTGACCTTACATAAATCCCCTCCCGTAAGTTTCAAAACAACAAAGTACTTATCAACCTGATGCAGGTACATACCAAGCCAGGTTTCTTACTGCCATCATTCTTAATTTCTACATAATATGCACAAACCTACATTGTCAGGAGCATCACAGATTCCAACAATGTTTTTGCTAATCCATGTTTTGAGTAGGTTTGAACTAAGGTGAAGAAACTCTTAATGTTCTTAAAAATGGTAAACTAATTACTGGTTTCATTTGACAACAAAATCAAATGAGTAATTCAGTAGCCTTTTGCCAGGATCTTGGGCTTCTGCATTTCAAAGTCAGTGTTTTCCACGTATGATAAAATACAAGAAATTTCAAGACATAGTGTTAACAATATGGCCCAAACACAGCATCAGAAACTGAAAAGGAGGGACAAGAATGAACTGAACCCATGAAGTAACTACATACACAGTCTCATTTTTTCACCTGGGTTTAAAGAATTTTACTAAGCACTGCTCCATAGTTACAAATATAAGTCTTTTGAGGCTGAGAATAGAATTCAGATTTCTTTTCAACCATCAATTTATACGCTCAGCTGTTTCATCCTATTTTTCTACAATTGGGTTTTCTGGGCCTTTAAGCCCTTTGTTCTTCCAGCTTTACTGAAGTAAAATTGACAGTTGTATTTTATTTACCTAAGGTGTACAGTATGATGATCTGAGTACACATTTTGAAATAATCACCACAATCAAGTTAATGAACATATCCCCGGTTCCCTCAGTTTCATGTGGTCACGTGACTGAGTTCTAGCTAACAAGATGTAGGCAGATGTTGATAGGAGAGGACTCCATGAGAAAGTCCTTTCATCTCTTGCCCCACCCCCATTCCTTGCTCCTGAGTCTTGAGTACAAGGTGATGACTGGACTTGAGAGTCCCAGACAGCCAAAGGCTAACCTGGGCGTAGAAGCCAATGCTAAGGATGGCAGAGAGCCTATCTGGGTCCCTGTGAACACTGTAGAGCCACTGTCCGTTTCAGACTATCTACTCGATATTTTTGATTTGAGAGAAATAAACTTCCATCTTGTAGAAGGCGCCATTATTTGGGGCTTCTCTGTTACATGTACTCAAACCTAATCCTGTTATAAAACCATCATTAAATTCTATTTTAATTTTCCTTTACCTGGATATTGGTATTTTATTTTTGCTTGACAAGTGTTATAATTCTTCATTCTACCTTGTGTTCTAAATGAAGGAATTCTTGGACCTTTAGCTTTTGGTATTCCCTGAATTCGGAAGTTTTTCTTCATTATTTAATTTTGCTTATGCTCTCTTAATTAATTTACCAGACATGGAGGATGTCTGTAAACTTTTTTCCCCGTAATATTATTAAACAAAAATATCTGGAGACTAAATAGCTCAGTTGTCCCCTAGCCTTAGCTTAACTAGCAAGAAACTTTAAAAATACTAACTTTAGGGACGCCTGGGTGGCTCAGTCATTAAAGCATCAGCCTTCAGCTCAGGTCATGATCCCAGGGCCCTGGGATTGATTGAGCCCTGCACTGGGCTCCCTGCTCTTTTGGAAGCCTGCCTCGCCCTCTCCCACTCCCCCTGCTTGTGTTCCCTCTCTGTCAAATAAATAAATAAAATCTTTAAAAAAAAAGACTGACTTTATTAATTTTAAGTTGGGTATCTGTGGGATAGAGAAATAGGTTTGGCTTACAAAGCTTTAATCACCATTCCGCTGCTTACCTCCACACTGGGAAGAAACAGGTGATGAAATTTCTTTAAAAGTACATGAAAACTAAAGAATGGTAAAAACTTCTTTAAGGAATAGTACCTATATTCTGATTACATACATTAGTATGTTCTTTGAAAGATTACATGTTATATAAGTTATAGATTAGATGCATGTGCTCTAATCACCTGCAATAAAGAAAATTTTAATAGGGCACTGTCATTTTTTTTTAAAGATTTATTTCTTTGCAAAAGGGCATGCACACACTTTGCTTTAAAAAAATGAACCCAGGGGCACCCGGGTGGCTCAGTGGATTAAAGGCTCTGCCTTCGGCTCAGGTCATGGTCCTGGGGTCCTGGGATCGAGCCCCGCATCGGGCTCTCTGCTCCGCGGGGAGCCTGCTTCCTCCTCTCTCTGCCTGCCTCTCTGCCTACTTGTGATCTCTGTCAAATAAATAAGATCTTTAAAAAAATAATAAAATTAAAAAATTAAAAAATATTAAAAATAAATAAAAATTAAAAAATGAACCCAAAAGAATGAATCTTTTTGTATCTGGGGATAGGAGAATGATGGTTTGTTTTCCTATTATGTATGAACATAGAAATTTCTTCAAGTCTATATTGTAACAGCAAATAAATTCTGGATACCAGAATCTCTAGTGTCACTCATCAAAAAATGATGTTATAATACTGCTTATTCAAAAACTAGTGGATTTTTTTTAAGTTTTAAGTAATCTCGATATACAACAAGGGCGCAAACTCATGACCCCAAGTTCAAGAGTTGCATGCTCTTCCAACAGAGCCGGCCAAATGCCCCCTAGTGGTCACTTTAGTAGACAATATTTTCCCACTTAAAATTCTACAGATTTCAGGATCCAAAAGTTTTAAATAACTGTAAGTTTGTCTTAAAAATGTTACCATTCAAGTAAGCTGAAGTTCAAATCCCATGAACATTTACTCTTCAATATCCAGAATTAGAACAAGATAATATGACAATTTGGATTAAGAGATCAACTAATCAACTATAAATCATGTTTGAACAGCTTACTTCAAAATCTTCTTGCCAAAATGAATTGAGAGAATTAATGAATATTGAACAGCAACTGCAATGTTAAAAAAAAGAAGGTACTGCATCTCCCCAAAACTCCTACAGATCAGTTTTTTCTTTTTGATTTTCTACTGAAAATTAAAGACAAAACACTCACTATTGTTAATCTTGAAAACAAGTGTGCCAGGATAACAGGGAAAAAGTTTAGTCCATTAGGAAAATAATTTAAGTAACAGTGTCAGATCATCTGTATTTTTGTCTATCCTATTTTTATTTCCTTATGTGAAATAATACTGTTAATGGTTATGACCATACACAGTAATTGTAGTAAATGTCGAACTTTAAATGTGGATTTTTAGAAGCTGAAAAAGGAAAGTAATCCTGAAATGATCATGTCTTCTCAAAGCCACAGAAAGATTTGACATTTATAGGAACGCAAGAACCAAAAACAAAAAAAGCCAAGACGTTATTCTGCAATATTCTTGTGTAATTCTTGTGGAAAATATTTAGATTTTATGAAATTCTCAGACATGTTCCTTCCTTTAAAAATGCATACACCCGGGTGCCTGAGTGGCTCAGTGGGTTGAGCCTCTGCCTTCAGCTCAGGTCATGATATCAGGGTCCTGGGATTGAGCCCCGCGTCGGGCTCTCTGCTTGGCGGGGAGCCTGCTTTCCCCCTTCTCTCTCTGCCTGCCTCTCTGCCTACTTGTGATCTCTATCTGTCAAATAAATAAATAAAATCTTAAAAAAAAAATGCATACACCCTTTCCCACAGACATGTCCTATAAGACATCTGACAAATAATTCATTCTCAGAACCAATGTGTTCTGTCATCCTTCAAAGGGCTAGTAAAAGCTACAATACAGAGGCAGAATTAATCCAAATGAAGAAAAATGATCTTTTCTAAAATCCGTATGTATAATTCTGAGAACTTTTAAAGAAACAAAGCAAATATAAAACAAAAACAACAAAAAGAAGGATCAAGTATGGATGTCCCAAAAGCAGAAGACAAATCATGATCATCTCTTAAAAACCATTTTCTGGAAGAAAAAAAAAAAAAACAAAAACATTTTCTGCATCCCAACTTCTACAGGTGAGATTTCTACCTTTTTTGAGTTTGGCTCCAAAATGCCTTATGGCAAGCTCCTGTTCAGAGTGGCACTGCACAAGAGTTTTCTAGCTCTCTTATATCTTAGATGATATTATCAAGGGCAGCCACTTTTGGAGTACAACTTAGATAAATACGAAGGGCTTTTTAAGCTCGCTAACCATTTCAAAGAAAATTCTAAATTAAATATAATGTACCTCTGAAGTCCTTTCTATCACACAGTTAATGAAAAATCAAAATCTGAGTTCATTTTAAATTAGCCATTGCCCTATGAAAGATGATATTCCTAGGATGACTGTTACTAACTCTCCCACACCTTTTTAGTTTAGAGAACAGCCCAGAAAGATAAAAATATACTCTCTTTTCAACAGGATCCAGGGAGGGGGGAAAAGCAGCAATTCAGTTCCCTGAAAACAAAGTCTCTTTTCAAAGCGCATAAGTAGCTGAATAGACAACTGGACAGGGAAATTATTTTCAGAGGCAAGTAATCCATTAAAGGATCTATAGTGGGGAGTAAGGCAGGACTTTTCTAAGGCTACAGATCCAGATGACCACTGCATTAGCTGTTTTAGACTCTGTTCTTGTTTTGGCATTTTAAAAGCTGGACCTTCCTAAAAGTGATTATTTAATAAGAATAACATTAAATCCATGTATTTAATGCAGTACTGACTGCAGTATCTTATTGATGTATATTATCAATTAACATCTACTGTCAATTAATTAAAATTAAAATAGGAATGAGAATAACTGCTTTTTGATGTGCTGTGAATAGGAAAAGGTCTTGCTCCAGTCTACGGAGTTTCCTGGTCTACCCTCACATCTGTGGAGCTGTGGCAAACCAGCCAGCTTGCATGCTGAGTCATCTCCTTTGGAATCTTGTTAATCAAGGTCCTCCTCTATGAGGTCAGAGTTCCTCCCCAAAACTCCTTGAACAGCGCATTCCATTCTATACTCACATTGAAATTTGAAAAATTAAACTGGATATCTTCAGTCAAATCCTCAATCTCACTTTGCTATCTTTATAT